ATGACTGAGGTCAGCTTTATGCATGGCATTGCTAAGGTATAAAAAAATACCAGCTGGCCAGTCTTAGCAATGCAAGGTAACTATAAAACCTGACCAATTACTAGTACATGTATATGGTATTTATTCTATACAACAGTCACAAAGGCAATGAACTTGATTCTATTTTGAATTCATGTGTGGGACAATGCTAAAACCTGTTTTTCTTCTATAACTTCAAAACTAGAATTTCCTATCATACAGTTTTGTGTATGTCGTATTTGTACAAGTTTCATAATGAACTGGTATACCAAACGTTTAAAATAAATTTTGTTTGTGTGAAGGGGAGGAAAAAGGGGGGCGGGGGCTGTTAACCCTGGTGGTTGGATCATCCCCTCTCAGTCTTGTGATCATGATGAGTTGTGTGTTTGGGGGTGGGGCTGCATGGTGGGGTGGTGCGAGGTAGTACTTGATAGGTTCGTTAATCATGAGATGAAGTGGCAAACCAAAGACTGCTTTATGGAAGAAATAACAAATGGAAGCATACTATCTCCATATGGTGCGCATCTTTAGAGGTACTTACCCCAGGCTGTGACGCAGCCTGGTTATTCTATATCTACAGCAAGAGTAATAAAGATCCATAAACCCCACAGTGACCTTTCACAGAAAAGATTATAATATGGGGAAAAAGTCTTCAAGAGATCATCAAGTGTGTCATCTAAACCAGTACTAATATTAAAATAACATTAACATCACCGTTTTTAAATACATCTGACATTTTGTGTGTGTCCTTGCCAAATGGAGCAATGAAATGAGCACAAACTTAGAATAAAGCGACTTTTTTTCCATACTAAAGGGGAATATCTTTTCCAAGGTCGTTCTTATTCATAATAATCTATAGAATCATGTGAAATTCAGTTGGGCTGGAATTATCCTGGTACGTTTATTAAGTTTAGGAACGTCATAGATAAAACATCTACCGGTAGATAGATGGCACAATAGAAATGCCTATTATATACGCGTGTATTATTATTATCTCTTTGTTATTGTGATGTTAACCTTCCCCTTCTCTTTCGCACACATATGTTTTCACCATTTGATCTACTAATGAGTATGAAAACATACTTATCTAAAGGTTTTTTTCTCTGAATTCTTGTCTTGAAAGCTCAGTTGTTTGCTTCAATACACCTACTCTCTATTTAACAACTTGCATTGTTGTGGATCATTAAGGTTGATTTCAGAGTAAGAACATCTGTATGCTTCCAATTAATTTAGAATAAATTGACATCAAGCCTGATGCTTTGTTTTTCAGTATGAAATCTGTTTATATATTGGGAATACACATGTTTCAATTTATATTGTGTTGTATTACAAACGGCCAGTGGTGGTAATGTGTGTATTAAGATCGTCATATTGATTCATTTGATGTTCACTTTATTTTGTGTTACAAGTTTGATGTACATGTAAAATTCATTGATAGGTCCTGCGACATTCTGTCAAGTCACTTTTTAAAGAGCAAAACTTGCAATGAAATCAAGGCAGAATGAAAGAGAGAGAGAGAGAGAGAGAGAGAGAGAGAGAGAGAGAGAGAGAGAGAGAGGGGGAGAGAGAGATAAGAGAGAGAGAGGGGGGAGAGAGATATTATACCCTTTTCTAACTGCACTCTATCGGAGTCACACCGATGAAAATACCGATTGAATTTTCCTTATGTAAACAAAGGTGAAACCGCAGTTTTTCCCCTGTTGCTTTCTAACTGCCGATGAAATTCTCTCGCTGTGGCGAGCCCATGCCGGAAGTGAAGAATTATTGCGTAATTATTTAGCCCGCGCTCCATCTAGCTAGCATGCAGCATGTTCAACCATAAGTCAACAAACACAGCTGGTTACGATTAAGCGCGCGTATACTGCGACCTTTGACCATTTTAATCGCTGTTTTAATCGCCTTTTTCTCCCGAACGTTTTCTAACTGCACGTTTCATCGGTGTCACACCGATAGAATGAGAATTTCTCCTGCTCTTGAGCAGGAGAATTTAATCGCCTATTTCTCTTCTTTTCACCGGCTATTTAATCGCCTTTTTCTCCTCTGTTGCTTTCTAACTGCCAGTTTCATCGGATGCGTCCGGATGCATCCGATGAAAATCAGTGCAGAAAAAGGGTATAAGAGAGAGAGAGAGGGGGGGGGGGGGGGAGAGAGAGAGAGATAAGAGAGAGGGGAGAGAGAGAGAGATAAGAGAGAGGGGGAGAGAGAGAGATAAGAGAGAGAGAGATAGAGGGGGAGAGAGAGATAAGAGAGAGAGAGAGGGGGTAGAGAGGGGGGGAGTGAGAGATAAGAGAGAGAGAGAGAGAGAGAGACAACAAGGGGAGAGAGAGATGAGAGAGAGAGGGGGGAGAGAGAGATAAGAGAGAGAGAGAGAGGGGGAGAGATATGAGAGAGAGAGAGAGAGAGAGAGTGGGGGGGAGAGAGATAAGAGAGAGAGAGAGGGGGGAGAGAGATATAAGAGAGAGAGAGAGAGATAAGAGAGAGG